TAACACTAGCATCTAGGAGGTCTGAGCCTGAGAGAAGGTGGGTGGTATAATAATCAAGTGTAATTATCTCTGTCTCACTAAAATACTCTTAAATGCTTAATTTTTTTACTACCAATAAAGACTTAAAACCTATGAAGGGTTCTTAAAGGTATACGATTGTTCAGAGTTTTCTTGGCTCAAGTGGTAAAGATTTAAGGTAATATTTTGAAAGTTCTAGAACTAGTTTACGGTGAACGAAGGGATCGAGAAAGTGCATATAGAAGGCATGCATTTATATGTAATGAACACGGATATACTTATACATTATTATTATATACTATTCTAGGTATAATAAATACGTTATAATAATTATTATTATAATGCACTGAACATTGTTCTTCTTAGTGGATGTGATTTGTTAAAAATGATTAATATATATCATGATGGGTCATGACTCGGATCCACTCCTATAAAACAGTCTGAAATTTCAATTTCTTAACTGAAAAGCTGTTATTGAAACCACGTGTTTGTGCTCTTGCAAGTTTTGCAAAGACCTTACATATACTTTTGAAGGCTCTTAAATGTGTTTAAATTCCTGAAAACTAACTCCCCATTTGCACATCGCGGACGCCAAATAATTACTATCTTAACTTAACCTAATTATTATCGGTTAAAGACGTGCATTGGACTTTGGATATAAAAGTGCACAAACGCTGAATGACAATTTCGACATAATTAATAGCAATTTAAACGAGTAATTAATTTCTGAATTTCTCATTACCAAATTACAAAATGTAAATCTCATGTCCATCACAGTGTATTAGTGCAGGGGTTAAGAGCCAAAATAGGTTTCAACCTTGCATTTAGTGATAACTCTATGAAACTTTCAGAGGATGTTCTAGACACCCTAAGGTTCAATTTCAGCTATGCCGCCATCCCCGCAGCCCCGGACGGCACTTGGTATAGCGGGTTTCGTAAGCGCAGGGTAGCATTTCAATATCCGCCCATAAAATGTATGTCCAGGGTTTGTTTTGTATTTTCTTACATCTACGAAGGTTGAAGGGAATTGTCAAATACCCAGGGAGAATTTATTTAGGGTATTTTACGTGGTTTGCCTATTTTTAAGCCACTTTTAACAGTGCGGACTAGGGAATGCAATCCCGCAGCAAAATCTCAATCCCGGTGTTTGCGGGATTGTTAGATGTTAATCCCGCGGGGTCCCGGTATTTGCGGGATCTCGCCAAACTTTAAATAAATTGGCAAATATGCAATTCTGTGCGGTTAACTTCTGTATTAAAATAAATCGCTAATTATCACAATATTTAACAAGAAAGTACCTTCGGCCTATCTTAGAACTCAAAAAAACCTTACCTGTAAAGCACAAAAAGTCTTCTAAAGTGCCTCAAAGATCATAGTACATTTTTAACGAAAAAAGTTTAACAATTATTTAAAAAATAATTCGCCGTTATCAGTTTCATTAACAGAGCCCCCTTGGTCGGGATCCCGCAATCCCGGTATTGCATTCCCTAGTGCGGACAGTAAAATCGTGACGGAGACCTCTTTTGGCTGCTCTATTGAATATTATACTATGCTTTAAAGTATTTATTGAGACATTACAATGCTGAAAGGAAAGTTAACAATATCTACGGCACTAAAATTATTGAGCCCTATCTTGAGAACACTCGCCTCCGCAGTCGCACAATTCGGTGCAGGTCACATCGGACTTGACAAAGCTGCATCTTTGTGTGCAACCTTTCTTACATCCACATTTTACTAAGATTACAAAAGCTTCTAGAACTGGAGGTTTTAAAATCCAGACAGGCTCCCATTCTTGATCTTCACTCGAGTTTCTCCAACCCCAATCACATGGATCCGGAAGTTGCTGTTGCGCCAGGAGGCAATGCCCCCATACATGTCCTGCGAATGTATGTAGATTAAGTTTGTTTGTTGAATATGGATTCAATTGTAAATTCATATATTCGCCTACTTACCGCCTCTCTTAAGAAAGGTTGCACACAAATATGCAGCTGTGCCAAGTCCGACATGCCCTGCACCGAATTGTGTGACTGCGGAGGGGAGTGTTCTCAAGATAGGGTTCAATAATTTTAGTGCCATAGTTATCGTTAACTTTCCTTTCAGTATTGTAAAGTTTTAATAAATACTTTAGAGCATAGTTAACTATACAGTATTCAATAGAGCAGCCAAAAGAGGTCTCCGTCACGATTTTACTGCCCGCACTGTTAAAAGCGTAAACCACGTAAAATACCCTAAATAAATTCTCCCTGGGTATTTGACAATTCCCTTCAACCTTCCTAGAAAGTACAAAACAAACCCTGGATATACATTTTTGACCCATTTTACGGGCGGGCATTGAAATGCTACCTTGCACTTAAGAAACCCGCTATAGCAAGTGCCGTCCGGGGTTGCGGGGGTGGCAACATAGCTGAAATTGAACCTTAGGGTGTCTAGAATATCCTCTAAAAGTTTCATAAAGTTATCACAAAATGCAAGGTTGAAACCTATAACCCCCACACTATATAGGATATTCGCTTATTTTTAGGAATTTTTAGTTTATAACTGAAATAGAAACCATACTATTGGTAACTATTGTAATTCTTTATTTGCTCATTTCGTTCCTGCGTCTTCTACCCCTTCGCACTATCCCTAGAAAATAAGATTAAGTACAATTTTATCTCGGTTTTAGGGGAGTCATTTCGACCGTTTGAGTATATACCTATTCACGAATAGATACTAGATCGGCATTTCAGTAATTACCTTCAACACAGTAATTTCATTTATTTCATACTATCTAGTAATCGCCGCTTTACCAGACTGATTTGAGTCTGGTAAATCGTATTTTACCAGACTGAACATTTTTACCAGACTGGAAATTTTGCCTAGCAACCGCAACTGACATCCATCTAAACGTCTGCATTGATATTTGTCAAACTAGTGTCAGATCACAGCCGGCTATAATTACAAGCCATGCTGAGAAGTTTGGCAACGTTGTCCGATAGTCAATCGGTGGGCCGATATAAGTTTTAATGGCGTCTTGTTGCTCTTGTAAAATTGCATTTTCCTCTCTCCTGTATTTCGCCTTGGTGGTTTTAATACAGAAGAAAGATACTTAGGCAGTTTACAATTGTACATATATTTTTTTTATTTACAAAAATAGATAATAACATTTTTATTTGACGTTAAAATTCGGAACGCTATTAATTGGTAACTGCATCATAATGCGTTTTCCATCGAGATCTCCGAAATTGGTGAACTTCTGTCGAAAGAGGTCGAGTTGAAGCACTTGCTTGAGCACTTAATTTCGGTAAAAGGACAGTAAATCGCTGTGCCTCGGCGAGGTTATATCAACGACCAGGATGTGATTCGGAATGGCAGACTTTAAGCCAGTCGCTACCCCAGTGGGTCTAGGTACGAAGCTTTTAAAGAGGGGAGCCCCGTAGACTTCAAATTCTCGTACCATGAACTCTTAGGAATAAGTTGAAAGGTTCCTTCAGAAAATCGATTTGAAATGTCCGTGCTAGAATATCTGAAATACAAACTAATTGTATTTTCTCACGATAAACACTTACCGTACTTACGTACCAGGTAGTGTGTAGGTCATATTTGAGCTTCTTACAGGTATTTTGAACAAATAAAAGTGCTTCTAAAGGGTCCAGTAAGGAGTAGCCTGCTATAGAGGTTATGACAACAAATCGATATATTTACTTACCTGAATAATAATTTCTGTTCATTCCGTAGGGAGTAACACAAATTGTCGCAATTTCGCTCTGTTAAAACAGGTAAATTGGAATATTACACCCAAAACACATATAAAATACACTCAAAATCTGTCAAGTTGAATTAGGAAATCGGCCTACCATGCAGTGTTGCCATAATTCTCAGCACGGCTTGTAATTATAGACGGCTGTGGTCAGATCAAACAAATCAAGTGATCGACCTTTGCTTTTATTTGAATGTGTACCTACAACATTCTAATCAGAGATAACGCTTTTGGTTTAATATGGATGGCGGAATTTTAAGTTTGATTTGTTTGCGACTAACCTGCAATATTGAATCAATAACCCCGACTGAAAATTGGTACGCCGGTATACGCTAATGGTACACTGATAAGTGAGTTGACAGAGATTGCGACTACACTCCAGCTTCGCAAATTTGATTCTATAACTTATTTACGTGAACTTAATTAAATCATCTCTGTACCCATACCAACATCATACCTACGTTTAGCATAGGCATTCGTTTACCAAATGATATACTATAGACCTGAGCCATCCAACCCCACAGTCCTGCATGTTCAAAAATGATACAGCTTTGCAAAACAACTATCCGTGATTAAAAATGCCAAATAATGGGGGAAAACCTCATATCAATTACTAAATCTAATGCGAAGCGGTAAGATAACAACACTTCAAACATTTGTTGTTTGTTGAATATTAATTGGGGAGCGCACCGAAGGATATTAAAATAGTTATTGATAAAATAGATCTATTTATAGTTGTTTGTTCCACGCATCTTTAAATATACCTGCATAATCAAAATTCACGCATCGTCTCATTACGAAACTCAAAATTGTAATAAAGTCACAATGAAAACATGGAGTAGGTAGGTTTGCATAATTTATCCATTACTGATCCAGAACGGTGAAAGGTTAAGAAGATACTTTTTTTTTAAATTAAAACTGATGAAATGTGGGGGCGATGAGCGCAGGATTACTTCTCATGCATTCGGAACTTCGCCTAGTCGTCACCAACATGATTTTGTGGAAAAATATTTGTTTTTATTATTTCGGAGTATATTTCCTTCCGTCCTTTAAAGTCGCTCAATTCTTGCCAATAAATGGATTTAAATCTCATTGAGCTATTCGAATTGGTTTTCCGCGAAATTGAAACTGCAAGGGGATGTGTGATCAACTCGACATAGGCAAAAACTGAAGAAGTGAATTCGCCCGGCACATGCCAAGTGCTTGCAGTCGTGGGGACGCTACCCGTTCCCATAGCAACGGAAGTAATATATACATGAGCGTCGCGACGCCGCTTCATTCAGTAGGTTTATTCTTATCGGTAGAAGCAGTCAGTAGTTGCCGCAGGTGCTTTCCGCAAAGTGCGATCGTGATTTGTGTTCGACGATTCATTTTGTGCGGTCAGACTAATTTTGGTTCTTTTTCACAATTGGTTATCCACCCATCAATGATCGACATCGTTCAGGTAAAGTCGAATTTATAATCAAATTACGCGCCCATTCGGTAATTAGTGCGATAAATGTTCAAAATTGATTACTTTATTAGTGTCAGGGACGTACTGAGGTAAATATCTCATATTTCTTCACGAGAGTATAACGTTTTTCCAATAACCAATAACCTGTTGCCCTACTTAGTGGTTGTATCAAATTCCCTTTTGTAAACGAACCCTTTCGGTTTTTGTCTTTTGTTTTTTTCTTCTTTTTCGTTTGTTTAATGAAATCTACGGCATTTTGTACCAGATGCGAACGTCAAGTTCAAAATGAATATTTAAAGTATCTCAGGCATGTGCGCAATTTTCTAGTTACGAAGTCACTAATTTTCACATTTAAATGTCACGAGATCAACGAGTGGGTGGCAAACACCGAACTCTATTTTTCATTTTAAACATTTTAATGGAAATGAAAATTTGGCTGTTTTTATAACAAGCAAAAATAAACATCCTGTGTAAACCAATACGGGTATTGTTTCTGTCGGTAAGCCATCTGCTAGCTTTTATCGAGTGAATTTGTACTGTACCCACAAATTATTCACATTACCTTCGCTTTGTACAATATGTAAATCATATAATTGTCTTTATTCCATAAATTCCAGTTAAGTTATTTTTGTCTCAATTTTGTTTGACTGTGAACGGGCGCCGTTGAAATTCCAAATTCGAGACGGTCGGCGACATAGCGTCGTTTCACTTAAAAATCATTTATATTATTCGTCGATTCATTGAGAGTATACCAACTTTGGAACATTAAGTTGCGAGATACCAAGGTATTTGTTCTGACAGATGTAAATGAACCTAGAAACTAGCCACTCAACTGAACTTTGCATTTGGGAATATTTAATGAATTAATGCTATCCAATCAAACCAACCGAAAGGGTTTCAGTTTGTAAAAGTAAAAAAAAATGGTATGGGCAATAGTTTTATTATGTCGTTAGTATCGGACGCAATAAGTGCAAGTGATACAAACGAATGAACCGTTTAATTAGCGTTCAAAGCCTCCTCTTTTTCAAATCGTTATAAGCAAACAGAAGATAATTACTTCCTGAAGTCAATTTCTTGTATTTTCCGCTAAACTACACAAGTTCAAACAGTTCCACGCATTTTTCACTAAATCACTTCTACTTGTTTTAGAAAATGAAAACGGAGGACAAGAATAATATGCCAAAAGTTCGTATAGCAGTCATTGGAAAATCGAATGTTGGAAAATCAGGTAAGGTTTCTCACTTTCATTACAAGAATATCTGGCCTTTGGCTATTTGAAGTACAGTAAATCGCAAGTGTAATAACCACAGCGATTCATAAACTCGCCTACTGTTTTTGTTATTGTCCTTGGAACTGTACTTACTGTAAATTTTACTCAGAATTCCGTGAAAATATTTACAATGCCCGCCAATCAAACCATATGTTAGCATTCTTGCCGAAAAATTATGATTTCACATAACGAAAACACATTCCGCTACATGAAAGTTTGGAATTCCACCGTGGGTAATGGCTTAATCTTCACAAATTCAAGGATCTCCTTGTGGCGTGATTCATCTTAAGCCTTTCATCCGCATTTTTGTCTTCGCTCAAAATATTTGAATTATATGACACGGATTTTGTTTTCAACGATAATCCATTTAAATTAATCATAGATAACTTTTAATTCTAAATTTAAGAGTAACTCCTGCATACCAGCACAATTACATCACGCGCGGAGAGTAGTGGCAAATCGAAGATCCCTGAGGTACTCCTCGAGTACCTAGCGAATTTGATTCAATGCCAATCTCGATTATTACAAAAGCGTCTAGACAATAATAGAACCGTTAGGCTTCTTTACATCGATTTAAGCGCAATAAAATGTAGGTTAGTTCCGTTTGGAAATTAATCAAATTTGCTACGAATTTTTACAAAATAGTTTAGCTCTTGTGTACGTTTTATTGTTTTGACACATTTAGTGGCGCACGTTTCCGGAATAACTTTTTATAGACGTCCAGGAAGTGAGCGAAAGAATTTCGACTTAAAATTAATTTACTCGCCGAGGACATATAAAATACCAAATTATTGGAGAAGAATCGCTTCTGGTTATTTAGTAATATTCACAGTTCAATTTCCTTGTAATAAATAAGAGATTTACAATCTGCGATCAAATGTATACATTGTTGCTAATTTAATGATTTCCTTATTCTTTCAGCGTTGACCGTTCGATACTTGACAAGGCGCTATATTGGAGAATACAGGAGCAACACAGGTACGTAAAGAATAAGTCACGTTTAGGCTTAAAATAAATGTAAATTTAAATACAAAAGTTGCTGCCAAGGTTACTTATTTTTGTGTTTCGCCTTTTTGTGTCGAAATCTGAGTGGCGTTTTTCTCAAGTTCAGATAAATTACGGAGACATTTACACTTAGAGACATCGCGACAAATTTTTCATACCTACCGACCTTACGGCTAAATTAATTATACGATTAAAGCCGGCGCCCGCACGTCGCTTGGCCAAAAAATCTTTTCTATTTTAACGATCCTGCCATTCGAAAGCCGTTTTGCTTATATTTTTAACAGGTGTCTACGGTATCTTCGTTTTGTTCGCGCGAAATTATTCAATACGAGTCTTAAGTCAAGGGCAGACGCCCTTTCAAAGCTTTTATTAGTTGTTATGAAAAGCTTTTGACACTCTGAAAAAGAAAGAATGCGAATTTTAACCTGTCAATTGGAATAATGAGCCCTTTCCAAGCGATGTAAATTTATCTCGTACAAATGCGAAAATTAAGCTATGAATAGGCACTTGGACGAAACTTGTAATTCCTAACGTCATTATGACGCTAATAAGCGTCAAAATTTAAGGCATGTACCTATTTTTGCAAAGGAAATGACTTGTTTTTTTCGCCTGCCCATGTTGTCAATAACGGCGCAAATTTGAAGAACCGTTCTGTCCAGTAGGTACATCTTATACATTGGCTTGTAGGAAATTCAAAATCGAACATACAAATTGAAACAAAACCGCCAAAAAGCTTTGTCTTGATTTGCTTCAGTTTGTGTTTCATCAATGATCCCCAGCAAAAATTACGAGGGTTTGTGGATCAAATTCGGCACCTGCTGACGCATAGTATTACAATCCCATCGTCTACTAATACCTACAGCATGAGCCATTGTATCTTTTTTTTGTTATTTGTACCGAATAAACGCGTCTGACATACTCAGGTATGTTTGGCACAAATGCCAACTGTTCCCCTATAAATAGATGGATGCTATCTGTCCTACAGCGGCGGAATGTTTATTAGCGAGCTTAAATTTTAGATACTTGTAGATTTTCACCAACAGCTGTGATCGATCATTTTTAAAGATGATAAAACCGCACATTTTTGTTGTAAATCTCGACTTTCCCACATTGTGATAGCTTACGCGACAATAATCCGCCGCCGCATGTTTCCCAATTCCCCTGCATTTCTGCCAGCAAAACTATGTGGTAGAGATATCTAAAATTGTCTACTGGAAAAATATATCAACGTAACTCGACAGGATATACACTTCGAATAAAAGATGACACAACTTCTTGCGTAATGTGTGACTCATCTTTTCTCGTTCCACATACTTTTGCAATAAATAATAAATTCGCAGTTGATCGCAAATGACGATCAACAAATACAAGTTTAAGTTCTTGGTCAATAAAACCATAACTTTGACCAACAAACAATAAAAGTTCATGATTGCCTGGAGTTCAAGTACTTTCTCCACGTCGTGGTTAACATAAAGTAGCATCAATTTTGGTCATGGACGACACGCACATTGGGTCTGGGTGAAAATGTTGGACCATATGACGACTGAGATATATAATCATGTAACAAATTTATCTTCAGTTCTTGTCCATTGAATTTTCAACCTTTACCTCAAAGAAGTTGTAACGAGAAGCGTTGCCAAACTATGATCAGCCTAGGAAAACACAAGTTTTTTTGTCAAAACTATTCATTTGAACATTTTCACAAAATATTTTGTTCCCATGCAAACACGAGTTTTGCATTCGATTTTGTATTTTATGAACTCATGAAACTATTTAAGGCTTTCGGGAGCTTTAAAATGTTTAGAACAATCACCATACTTATGATCATTTTCTAGAGAATGTCAATCAATTTTTCAATTTTCTATTTAAAAAAATCCCACACGCGAGTGTTATAAGGGCTAAACGTTTTAGGGAGAATGTAACCGGGGGGGCTAATGCCCTCCAGTCAGCAGAGCGAGTGCTCTTAGCTAAGTAGAACTTGATCATTCTATTTATTTTACTCCTATCACTTTCGTTGGTGCCCAGTTTTTGGGAAAAGGTCTCTCCGTCTTCTGCGAGGTATTCCATACCCCCCCAAACCCCCCGCTGCTAAATTCTCTCCCAAAATGCTTAGAACAATCACCATGTACTGCTGATCGTTTTAAGTGTGCCATGGAAAACGAATTCAATGCAATTTCGTTAAGTTCGCACTTACAATTTAATCAGGCGATATTTCCTTATACAAGCATAAATAACAAAAGCTATTAGAGAATTTATATGGAACGTGTAACGGGCGATCAAAAATGAGTTGCTGTCGAGTCGCCTTTGGAAGTTCAAGTTAAGTACGATTTTCCATGTAAACAAAAATTCCAAAGGTGACTCGACAGTAACTCATTTTTGATCGCATACAATAGTATAGTGCAATGTAATTTTTTCGCAAAAATCAAATATTTTTTACGCAACCCATGGAAAGCTAGAGCTTTGCTAGAAAAACAGATGTTGAGTATACATTCTGTTTCCAATTATTTCGCCACTATTGCTAACAGTCTTATGCCCGTTTGCACCGACAAATTTAAGCGGAGATTAGCTTAAGCGTAGCTTAAAATGCATGGCAACCATTGTCTCAATAATCGTTGCCATGGATTTTAAGTTACGCTTAAGCTAAGCACTGCAAACGGCCATTAGCTGTAGAGTTAGAAAGAGTTCAGAATTGTGTATTTTTGTCTTCTGAATCCAATTCTGTAATTTAAAAAACACCACAGCATCGCATTTTTCAGATAATATCAAAAATTCGACTTTTTTATATGGGACATCTGGAATATTATCATATTATATGACAGCTTATTAAATTCCATACCAATAACCTTGATTTTTCAATTATTTTTATTTGGATTTAGAATTCTAAAAGTTTCCAACCAGACCAGACGCACTAGATTCGAACCTGGAATATACAGTACCTATTTCGTTTTTTTTGTTGTGAAATTTAACTTTAATAAACGTTACTAATTCCTTTCCAGTTCACTAGGTGTAAGAAAAACAGTTTTCAGTGCCATTAAAGCGAAAAAATCGCAAACGAGACATTACTCGGAGTGTTCAACTGATTAAGGCCCAATTTTTTTGCAAAAACGTTATTGTGATAAACACGAAGAAAGTTTACGTAATCCGTATAAGCAATTTGGTCCATTTGGAATTGAAATATCAATCATTTATAATGAAAAGTTTGTTTGGAAGATCACTCTACCCAAATAGCAGATCGGAACCATCTTGGAAATTTCAAAGACGACCCTTTAGGCGATAAGGACCCAGGCGCGTGTAGTCGTCTAAGTGTCGAGTTAATAATAAATGAGTAGATAAATGGTTGTTGAATAAATTACGGACAAAATCCAAACGCGACTACTAAATAAATGTGGTTTTCGCGATGCACAACCAAAGTCAGTCATAGTGATGTTATTATTCGAATGGAGGCAGAGCAGCAGATGTGAAATGGCATTACTGTAATTGCCCTTCATAATTAAATTTCGAGTTAATTGTAATTTAGTTAGTTGATTAAAGAGACGTTTACCCCATTTCTCCAGTCTATTTATTTCGATAGTCCAGCGCTAGATGAAACGAAATGAACCACGAGATAAAATGTATAAGCAGAAATCAGCTGTGTTATTTAGGGGTTAGCGCACCGAAAGCGAGGAGAATTGGAACGGTTTCATTCGCTAGAGCAAAATTAAGTCAACCCTTTGCATGCTCGCGGTGTCGTTAAATATACATTAACCCTCGTTTTACACAATTACCTCATCTTTTTGTCGACTCGAATCGAATCGTTTTAGGGTCGGAACGAATTAATAAATGGGATTCAATTTATCCCTTTAACACAAAGAAGTTTGACTTGGACATCCGATAAGCGTGATTGGCACTTCGGAAAAACTAAAACGTTAGCGTCACGCCCAATTTTCTTTGTGGAACAACAAAAATAATAGGATATAATGGAAACTCATCGAAGTGTTTCTGATGTGTAGGGTTACTGAACTCTGGAAGAGAGACGCGAGCTTAATGTAATCGCATCTGAAAATCAGAAATGATCTTACAAATTTGCAATCACGCACGACATTCATAGCTCTATCACGCGAATACAGCTGATTTTTCTTATTACGGAATTGAATTTATTAATTTATCCTTTGATTTTAATAGACGTAAAAACCATCGGCAAGCTTTCATCTACCTACAATTTGAGTCTGGCATTCGCTATCGATGGCAAACTAAAAATGAAAATAAAATATTCAACAGATTCTGTTTACACAATTAATGTTTACAAAATTTTTTTTTGTTTTTGGTTCAAAACAGCACGTGGCGATCTATTAACATTGCCATTTTATAGTTCCAAGTTCACGTACACAAAGCAAGCCCTCCATATTAAAACGAAATCGGCTCATAATGCTGTGAAGACTTGACTTCTGACTCAAACTCATAGAAAGAAAGATAGGTTGGCACAACAAACACGTGCTCTATGATTACATAAACACATCATCTATTTATCGCTTTCATACTATTACCTAGATGATGTTAGTCATTTTAGTTCATTGATTGGACTCGTCCTTTGGCACCGGTTCGAAAGCAGGAAGATTTTTCTGCGCTGAATGAGTTTGTTTCCCAATTGCAATTCATGTGCAAATTAGCGTAATTTATACACATCTGAGTATTAAAAAAACATCTCGTATTACAAACCGGATTCGAGGTATTTTTAAACTTTGGCACCCGCGTTCAGTCTTGAAACTGCAAAGGAACACAATCGTAATTGTATTTATTACAAGCGCATTTTGACCGAAACCGAAATTATCCTTGAATTCGTTACCGCAAAGTTAAGTTAATATTTAGGTCACTGCGAAATTACCCCTTCAATAAGCGTTGTTTGTTTCAGATTTGCTCTATCGGCAGACGCTTACGATCAACAACGCACCGATTGAGGTCGAAGTTGTGGACGTCTGTAGCTGTGATTTAGCAAGATTTCCGGAGGAGCCAATTTTTTGGGCAGACGCCTGTGTGGTCGTCTACGATATAACCTCCAAGAAAAGTCTAACTCACGCTACCGAACTAATGCAGAAGGTCCACCAGTTGAGGTCGCAGCACCAAATTCCAATGCTTCTGTTGGGGAACAAAGCTGATTTAGAACACCTCCGCGAGGTTAGTATGGAAAATCGCTTTTATAAGTCTCAATCGGAAAATATCATATGCGCGATGAAAGATGGTAAGGTCTTTGCCAAGTTTGTTTTGACTTGCTCTGTTACGCAGAGACGTGTAACCTTAAATATGTAAATTATTTACAAAGATGTCCGCTATTTGAATTATAAGAGGCAATAAACTTAAGTTACGTTTGGGAATTTCTTCACGAGTTTAATTAACTTACAGTCGGCTGGCGTGAGCGTATTAATTTAAGGAAATTCCAAATGAACTACTCAAGCTTTCCATGCACAAAAGACCTACAGTTGCGCGTCCGTAAATGTAATTGGAAAAGTTTAGAATACTCGATTAGTAACGTACTTCCGCATCGTATTGTCTAAAAACAGAAATAAAAAAATAATAAAACGGCGCTAGCCGAGCGCGAATATTCCATTTCCTAACCAAACAAAATTACTGAGATTCCAAACTTTTTAGAAAAAAGAAAACTCAAACTCGTCTCGTTATTGGTTATATCGGCAAGTATTTCTGAAAGTGCATTGACCTCCTCCAGATACTTCGGTCCTAATCTCCCAGCTTTTAGCATATCGACGTGCGGACGCCGGCGGAGGCGTCCCCGCCATTCGTAACCACGTTTAATTATGTGTTTCTTTGTTACAGGTGGAAGAAATTGAAGGTAGAACGCTTGCAGTGCAACACGGATGTCAATTTTACGAAGTTTCGGTTGCGGAAAATAGTTCCTTGATATACAGTGCGTTCGACGTCCTTCTAAGTGAATGTCGGTCCGTATTAAGCACGCAAAAGACGAGAAAATTTTCTGTATCGAAAATGATAGGCACTTTAATAGGAAATAACAACGGAAAAGTAACGACGAACGCGAATCAAGGAGGAACTGTCGTAGTGTGTCATAAATCCGACTTGTACAAGTCGAGGGTGTTGAAGCGAAGACACAACTTTACAGCAACCGCATCACTGTGACTAATTGAGAACGAAGAACAACCTGGGAATTTTCTTTGCTTTATTGACTTCCTTTATAAGAAGTCATGTTTGTACAACTAAACTAAGTAGTTGTTTCTTGGATCTGAATGATCGGCGTCATTGGTTAGAGGCGCTTTTTCAATGGATTGTCGTTTCTCAGTTTTATGAGAGACTCGGAAGTGTCAATTAGGAAAGATAATATTTTTTAAAAATAGTTTCCTCGAGACTTTTAGCACTGAACCAACTTAATTAGTAATGGCATATCAAACGTGTTTTTTTTCTGTTAAAATACACGTAGCAAAGTTGTGTTAACGTTATGTGTAATTTGTCCAAATATTATTAAGTGATATAAGTATGCGAATTATTCTTAAATGAGACCAAACATTTGTGCCATACATTGTCACCGTTTTTTGATACCTTTTTATTCATCCCTACAACTAATGTATGCTTTTTATTTTAAACATGTACACATTTTCTTTACAAGCGATGAATTCTGCAACTTTTCGTTCATGTCAATTAAATTCGAAAAAGTGAGGTGTAATTCTTCGCAAGACAAACTTCATTTTCGGTTAGTTGTTAGAGTTTTGTAATAAACAAATTTTGAAATTTTTCACCGAAAGAATATTTCTTAAGGTGTGAGTTTTTAGAACTTTTTATACAATGTTTAAATAAGGAATGTGTGTGCTAATATATGGCTGTGATATGCAAAGTATGTTTTTTTTTGCAATACAATATGACACTGACATTAGTGTACCGATGTGATGGCGTTATGTATGAGAACCTTTATTTACGTAAGTTAAATAAACATTCTTTAACAAAATCATGTGCGTTTTTATCTTATATTTGGTCATAGATGCGAAAATCGGTCAACAGAAATCAGCTGGAAATCGTGACAATTATGTTTGTCCAACGTTGATCCCTAAAAACAACAAAGTTTCTTACTGAAAGCTCTGGAACAGCCATCTATATCCCATTTAATCAATGGACTTATCATTTATCTGTTAGTACTCCATATATGACATCAGGAAATCTGCGTTAAGATACAAAATCATTACATTCATGGTGCCTTTAAATAACAGGCGCATAATATTAACCAATCCTCATCGTTCAGACGTTAATTCCTTCTGACACATGCTAAAACCATTGAATGTACTGCATAGTGATAAACGCGGATTGTTTCCAAGATTTCTGCAATATGAACGTCAATATTTTTTCCCCTGGTATGCCAAACCGGAATTAATCAAGCATTTATTACAATCCTCAATCATTTTTCAATAAGTTACGTTCCCGAACAGTTTACATGATTTCTTTGTATTATAAATAAACATTCCATTCAGAATAAATACCGAGCTTTCCGACTCTACATGACTTGACTATAATGGAATCAGAATTCTTCCATTTGTTTCCCGTTGTTCTGCAGCTTTTTCCACAAACTAATAAAGAAGCGCATTTTTGACATACGTATAAGAAACGGGGCAGTAGCCCAGAGGAATCTTCAAACCGGGGCTTTCCTCAATTCTAAAATAGTAACACACCATACACTTCGCTCAAGTTAACGAGAGTGGAAAACTAGTAGCCTTGTCATCTCATTAACGTTTTTAACTTTGCCACACCTCGTTATAATAATATTTTAGCTACGTCGTCGATTTCTCTTACAGAATTATGATCCGATTTTACTAAAGTTCATCGCCAACGTAGAATTTCTGTTTATCATTGAAACAAAGTGAGCCCAATTAAAAAAGTAGGTACATTCAACCTTATTGAGCAAGTACCAAGCGCTCGCCCGATTTGCACAAGCAGGATTTCCATACTAGCATCTCTATGAGAAATTTTTGAGAAATTCTCCAAAGACAATTTGATCGTAAAATAATTGTGCAGTGTTTATCACATTAAATAGTTCGCGCTAATCTCGTAGTGAGGATTGTTCTTTCCTCAAAGAAACTGATAAACAAATTCAATAAGCACATGCGATCTCATTTTCATTCAAAGGGCCTATACTCTCAAAATTTCCGTACTCTCTCCTCCTTCGCTTTCTCATTTTAATCCTGTTTGCCAGGCATCCATTGAAGTACCTCTTAAAGGACGAAACACAGACAAACCAATGGGACAAAATCATTATACCTATGAACCATAAATAATTGTCAAATCGTATTCACTCTCCTCAATATATTTTCATTTGAGGCCTTGGCAATCACCAGTGTTTATTTGATTTTTTCATGATTCTCAACTTATCTGTCGGTCGTTCGGGCGCCTTTATATGCGAACTTTCGGTATTATAATCGTACAGTCATACTATCATGTTATTCCTGCATTGCTTAGTCAAGTTACACACGATGGCCGTTTCACGAAATGGTTAGTGTCCCTCTTGGTGTCCCTTTATTGTCGATACAAAACTTTATTTTATAGCAGAAGCCATATAAATGATTGTAAAGCTTCTGACAATTCCGAATTTAATTTAAAACGCAAGTTTAGGTTCTGCCGTCGCGGTCGTTTCCATAGAAACACATCTGTTTCACTTTATTTATCCTAGCGGTTAAAGTGATCACTTTATCTACCCTCAGGGTTAAAGAACGACTTAGCCTACTCATTCACACATTATTAAAATGTCAATTTAATAGGTGCTTTAAAATAAAAGTAATTTAAAGTCACCCGGACATGAAAATTCTCAAAAGCATAGTCTTTAAGTACGAGGTGATTCCAACTAATTATGGGGTTAAGTCCCCAATTCGACATGAACTAAAATCCGCAAGGTTCTCTACTAATAGTGAGGCGCAGTTCAGTCCCCCTGACGTAGCTTGAAACAATCAGACACAACTTCGGCATAATCCTTAAGGAAGAACGGGTATATTTCACACTAGAACATTATATCGGGACTGACCAGAGTTCAAATTTCAAGCTCAATTGAGTGGAAGGAGCACATGCCATATCTTCCATGAGCCGTCATTAAGAATAATCTAACAAAGACGCATGCGCCATTCTAAATTCATTGCGTAGCTGTCTGTCATAGTTTTTGACATATGTCAATTTTTCTCTAAAAATTTGAACATGCGAACTCCACTCAAAAATTCATATCTCTGAAACAGTTCAGGACACCCGAATCCTTAACGTCTAAGGAATTTTTTGAGTGACCACTAAAATTTCATGGGAAACACACAAACATGTTAGATGTAATTTAGTAGTGTGATTTGGTGTTAATTTATTATCGTTTGTCTGTACTATTTTTGACTTGTTATGTTATATACACTTTTACATTTACACTTTCTTTTTGACAATTGTAAGTGCTCTGCACCCAAACATGAATAAATATAAATAAATAAATAAATAAAGTCTTGAAAATGTTTCCAGGGCTGCTGTGATTTTTCAAAGTTAATAATCAACAACTTCAGCCAGAAATGAATGTAGATTTAAATTTTAGGGCCACTTATTAAATTCTGTGTGCCTATATCCGGTAGTTTTTTTGAATATTCTTATTTGTTCGTTAGGTATGGAAGCGATCATTTCATTTGAACAATTGATATATGTCAGGAACTATGCCAGATACGTACGCTAATCTTAAATGCGTCAAATTCCGAATAAAATAGCGCATTTAGAAAAAACCAAGATGGTGCTAACTTCCGGTGTTTACGGAAGCGGCGCCATCTTAAAATTATTTTATTTCAATTCGCAATTATCAATATCATGGCTGTGAACCAAACTCAAGTTTGAGGTCACGAACTGACAAACCTATTGCTATTCTTGCGTCACTTATGCCCGGTTTCACAAACGATGATTAAAGTTAATCAATGATTAAAAATTATTAAAATGTTAGCTATCTTTGATTGAAAGCTCGGATGTTTCCCTTTCTAATATTTTTAATCATTGATTAACCTTAATCATCGTTTGTGAAAGTGGTTATTTCGCATTAGCCTGAAAGCTACTGATCTTCCACATCAAAAATGCGCTAAGTCTATTGATGGCACATCAGAGATTGTTTTTAGCTTGTTTGCGTGAAGTTTAGCGTAGCGGTCAATTTATGGGCGAGTGTTGAGCCATGGACTTGCATATCATGGGGATAAAAGGAGAATAAATTGGAAGAAGACACTATAAAAGGTATAGGAATAGGAATAAAGAAAAGGAAAGCTAGCATAACTAAATCTGTAATTTGCATTTGTATACAGCTATAAAATTACAATTTTGTTGTAAACATTGTTTGCAAATCTACAAGAATTTATGATTTCATATGAGAAAATGATAATGAAATGCACTAATATAAAATGACAGCATAGGTATTGAAGTCTATAAAAGAAACTAAAGAGATTAACCATTTGAGTCAATACCAAAGTAAAAATACTAATAATAAAAATCTGACAAATGTATATTGCAATTATTTACTTAAAAATGTTGAAAGGAATAGAGAGCTGAGGACAGACTATGAAATGCAGGGGTCAAGGGTGGTACTGAAATTTCGGAATGAGCAAAATCGTGTGGGAAAACTTGATAGTCGCAGCTACGAAATTAAACTACCCATTATTTCGCTATTTGTTTAACTGTTCAAACTAACAAACGACCCATAAAAAGCAAGGTCTATGACTTTTTGTTTACAAACATCGAGCCTGAACATTTCGAAACAAAAGGATGCACTCTTCTTTAAATGGAACACGGTTAGACTCTTCATAGAATTCTGAACATTGGAAGTGTATCAAAAATCAAAAGTCCGGTCCGGGAACCATTTTTAAAGAGATTAGTCTCTTAGTTAATTATTCCGATGATGATAACAGCCGGCTCCTCTTGCACCCTGAATATTACCGAAGTTCCAGTAAGCCTTGCGAGGATTGGTATCACGGAGTAATATGCGAAACGAAAATACAGACAAGTTTATAGTTGAATGAGTAGACGAGGACGAGACACTCATATTACATCGTATTTCTATAACTAGACCGTAGTAAAAGTCAAATTTTGGCGAAGTCGGTTGCAAAATATCACGTTTTCACTCGCTATAGATGCGATAGATATAGGAAGTGATACTTTGGCTTAAATTATATGTTATGATTGCCCACTTCAGAAATCCCTAAGTAGGCTGATTGTCCTAGTTAAACGACTTGCATTAAAAACAAAATGAGATAAGTTTAGCTTTGAGAATTTTTGAAAATCTTAATTTAGAAAACGGGGTACAAATATAGTTGACATATTTTCAATGTAATAATTTACATGAAAAAAGAATTATTAACTGTTAATTTGCAGAACAAGTTTTATGTGTGAATTTCTAGCGGCGCAAGGGTCTAAGCCCACACGCAATTTT